AGAACACTTAATTGTGCTCATGCAAATGTACGTAGACCAAGAGGTAGTCATTTGAACAGAACAAGGGGATACTTCATGGTTTAAAGTCAGGAAGAAGTGGGTCTGGGTTGTATTCTTTCATCATACTTATTCAATCTGGATGCAGAACAAATAATCTGAGAAGCTGGACTATATAAAGAAGAATGGGGCATCAGGATTGGAGGAAGACTGATTAACAACCTGCAGTATGCAGATGACACAACCTTGCTTGCTGACAGTGAAGAGTACTTGAAACTCTTATTGATGAAGATCAAAGACTACAGCTTTCAGTATGGATTACACCTTAGCATAAAGAAAAAAAAATCTTCACAAATGGACTAATATGCAACATCATGATAAACGGGGAAAATATTGAAGTTGTCAAGCATTTCATTTCACTTGGATCCACAATAAATGCTCATGGAAGCAGCAGTCAAGAAATCCAATGACGTACTGCATTGGGCAAATCTGCTGCAAAAGACCTCTTTCAAAAGTGTTAAAAAGGATAGATATCACTGTGAGGAATGAAGTGTTCCTAACTCAAGCCATGATGTTTTCAATCAGCTCATATATACGTGAAAGCTGGACAATGAATAAGGAAGACTGCAAAAGAACTGATGCTTTTGAATTATGGTGTTGGTGAAAAATATTGAATATAGCATGGACTTCCAGAGGAATGAACAAATCTGTCTCAGAAGTACAGCCAGAATGCTCCTTTGAAGTGAAGATTGTGAGATTTTGTGTCATGTACTTTGGATGTGATATCAGGAAGGACCAGTTCCTGGAGAAAAACGTCGTGCTTGGTAAAGAAGAGGGTCAGTGGAAAAGAGGAAGACCCTCAGTGACATGGATTGTCACAGTGACTGCAACAATGAGCTCAAACGTAGAAATGATTGTTATGATGGCACAGAATGCGGCAGCATTTTGTTCTGTTATATATCAGGTGTCTATGAATTGGAAGCAAATTAATGGCACTTAACAAAAATGTAATAGCATGCCAATTTTTCAGATGCTAAATTATAACTTCTTATAAAATACACTAATGCATATGATCTGTGGTCCTTGTACTATAGCCAGAGCATATAATTCAGAGCATGACATCTGGGATTGGAAGCATTTAGAAAGTTAGGTTGAAGAGGGTGGTACAGGGAGGTAGGAAGTTCCCTACTCTGAGTCCTGTGTCTGCCTCTTTTGGCTTTAACAGTCTGCAAACTGGAGTCTGATTTGAGGCTGAAAATCTGACACTGATTGAGAGGCAGCCAGGGTACCTGAACGCTAGAGAGTCCTGCTTGTTCAGCTTCCTCTCTCTCTCTCTCCTGTTATCTTTCTGCTATGATGATGGGCTCACACCAGGAAGGTCTGTCATTTGCATTTAGGAGCCTGCATTTCAAAGAGGCTGTCCCTTTTCATCCACCAGTGGGCAATGCTAAGGCCGGCACTCCTACTTAGCTGTCCCAGATTTGTGCTGCTGAGAGACCTTGCCTGCCTGGCTCAGTTCCTGCTAGTGAGTCTTGGCAGGGTGGATTCAAAGCATATTGATGGTGTCATGTTGTTAATAGGATGCCTGTCAAAGTATTTCTCTCCCCACTGGGTGTTACTAGTTGCTTTTAGTCAACTCCAGCTCATGTTGACTCCATGTGTGTCAGAGTAGAATTGTGCTCCATAGGGTTTTTAATGGTTGATTTTTCAGAAGTAGATCACCTGGTCTTTCTTCTGAGGTATCTCTGAGTAGAATTGAACCTCCAACCTACCTTTCAGTTAGCAGTGAGTGTGTTAACCATTAGGAGCTCTGGTGGTACAATGGTTATTCAGCTGGTAAACAAAGAGCTGTCGTTCTGAACCTATCAGCTGAGCAGTGGGAAGAAGCACCTATCAGCATCTTTCTCCATGGGAGAAAGATGAGGCAGTCTGCTTTCATAAAGATTTATATAGCCTTGGAAACTCCATGGGGTAATTCTCTGTCCTACAGGGTTATATGGATTGGAATCTACTGAATGGCAGTGGGTTTGGCTTTTGGGTGTTAACCATTTGCACTACCTAGGGACATTGGAATGAGGGATATCATTGCTGATGTCAGATGGATCTTGACTGAAAGCAAAGAATACCAGAAAGATGTTTACCTGTGTAAAAGGCATTTGATGGTGTGAATCATAACAAATTATGGATAACATTGCAAAGAATGACGATTCCAGAACAGTTCATTGTGCTCATGAGGAACTTGTACATAGATCAAGAGGCAGTCATTCAAACATAACAAGGGGATACTGCATGGTTTAAAATCAGGAAGGGAGTGTGTCAGGGTTGTATCCTTTCACCATACTTATTCAGTCTGTATGCTGAGCAAATAATCCAAGAAGCTGCTGGACTATATGAAGAATGTGGGATCAGGATTGGAGGAAGACTCATTAAAAACCTGTGGAATATAGATGATACCACCTTGCTTGCTTAAAGTGAAGATGACTTGAAGCACTTACTGATGAAGATTCAAGACTACAGTGTATAGTATGGATTGCTCATCAACATGAAGAAAACAAAAACCCTCACAACTGGACCGATAAGCAATATCATGATCAACAGAGGAAATACTAAAATTGTTAAGGATTTCATTTTACTTGGATTCACAATCATGGTAGCAGCAGTCAAGAATCAGACATTGTACTGCACTGAGCAAGTCTGCTGCAAAAGACCTCTTTAAAATGTTAGAAACCAAAGATGTCACTTTAAGGCCTAAGATGCATCTGCTCCAAGCCATGGTATTTTCAATTACCTCATATGCATGTGAAACCTGGGCAATGAATAAGGAAGAATGAAGAAGAATTAGTGCCTTTAAATTGTGGTATTGGTGAAGAATACTGAAAATACCGAGGAAGAGTGAACAAATCTGTCCTGGAAGACATGCAGCTGCAATGCTCCTTAGAAGGGAGAATGGCCAGACTTCATCTCATCTACTTTGGTCATGTTGTCAGAAGGGGCCAGTCCCTGGAGAAGGATATCATGCTTGGTAAAGTAGAGGCTCAGTCAAAAAAGGGAAGATCCTCAACAAGGTGGATTGACATAATGGCTGCAATGAAGGGCTCAACCACAGCAAGGATTGTGAGGATGGTGCATGACCAAGAAGTGTTTCATTCTGTTGTAATAGATGGCATAGTGCCTAAGGTATCTGACTGCTAACCAGAAGGTTGGCTATTCAAACCCACCAGCCTCTCCATAGAAAGAGACTGGGCAATCTACTTCCATAAAAATTGGAAACCCAAAGGGGGTCGCTAGGAGTCAGAAACAACTTGGTGGCAGTGAGTTTGGTTTTTCGGTTTGATGAGTGAGAGCCAACTCAATAGCACCTAACAAGAACAACAGGAACCTTGGGACCTGTAGGTGTGGCTGTTTCAGATAAGAAAACCCTGGCTGAGGGTGCATAAGGGCTTTTAGCCAGGGACTGGGGAGGTAGGAAGATACCTGTGAGGACCTCTCCTGCCTCAGACAACTAGGGTGTCTTGTCTCCACAAGGATTTTGGCTTTAAACTCACAATCAGAGTGTGACAGTGGTCCTGGATTTTTCTTCCTCTGTTGCCCGTTTGTTTGGTTGCCAACTGCAAACAGGTACTCCAGAACTGAGGGTGCCAGCTGATGCAAGTTCTTACTCATTTTATTTTTTCAGAGTTGTAGGTAGTTGCCCATGGGCCCAAACCACAAACAATTCCATTCCTGCTCTTTTGGTCCAAAGAGCATCCATGGCATGGGCAGAAGAGGGAAAAGGATGAAATGGGGACTTGAAACTCTTCTTTCACCTGGCATAGGGGTGCCCTGGGGATTGGAGGGCTCCACTTTGAGAACTGATCCCTTGTAGGAGGCAAGATTTTCAGCTGCAAATAAATAAGACCTTGGGTGGCACAAGTGGTTTTCTCTTGATTGTGAATTGAAAGGTTGGTGGTTTGAATCCACCCAGTGTACCTGTGGAAAAATAGGCATGGTGATCTGTTTCCATAAAGATTATAGTCAAGAAAACCCTATAGAGCAGTTCTGCTGTATAATACACAGGGTTATCCTGAGTGAGTTGGAATTGACATGACATCTATGGATTTGATGGTCTTTAAACTTGAGCTAGACTTGTGAAAACAGAATTCAACAGTTGATGTAACCAAACCAAGGATAGGGCAGGAACGCTTGGGACAAGGGCCTCAAGGGTTTTCCCACCACATCTCATCGATGGTGTCAGTGCCATTCTCCTAGTCTAGTTTTCTTTACAATCTTCCTAATATCATTGCCATAAAGGAAGGAGCTCTCTATCCTTAGTTTCAACTTAGAAATCTTAAAGAAGTCTCTGGTGGAGTCAGCTTGGTCATGTCCTTGGACCAATCACTGTAGCCAAGGGAATGATAAACTATGGCTCAACTTGAATGAGATTCCCTTCTCTGGCCAAACACTTGATGTGAGAAGTTAGATCTGTAGGATGTTGTTAGCTGATGACTCCACCTGATGTATAACAGAGCAAAACGTTGCCTGGTCCTGCCCCATATTCATGATCATTGGTACGTTTGAACTCATTGCTGTGACTATTGTGTCAACCTATCTCATGGAGTCTTTCCAACATTTTTGCTGGCCCCCTGCTTTACCAATTGGTCTTTCCTTATGATGTGTATAAAGTAAATAGTCAAGGATGTTAGCTTTCATTAAACTCTAAGATTATTACCCCTAAAGAATTTGGGATCCTAGTAGATTATACATCTACAAAATAAAGTGAAAAAGTAGAGATTCCACCCCCCCTCCCCAGATTACTAGGGTTTAGTACTGTACAGCTGGCCTTGAAATTCATCATTGACTTTCCAGTTTCAGAAATGCTGATTCATTTCTCACTTTAGCATGAGTATCCTCCCTGGTTGCCCAGGAGTGCAATTCTGTCTGCAAGATGTGGGAGCAGGATGTAAAAGCACAAAGGGACAACCTTGGAGCTCTCAGATGACCTCCTCTTTTCTTCTGCCCTGTAGGTTCCCAAAGAGGTATGTGAGTGCCAACAGAGATGTCCTCCCTTTGGTAAGAAGTGGTGTGGCTGCCTTGGGGCAGATACAGCAGCATCTCCTTACTCTGATGGATGTCTGTTCTTCCACAGATAGACTCCCACATGACCCAGTGAGTCTGCTAGCCCTGAGAGTTGTAAAGACAATCCTGTGTCCCACATGCTGGGCCCCCATGAGAGAGGACAGTAGTAACCATTGCCTTCTGCATACCTGGTGGTCTTATCTGAAGAAGATGATTATAGCACATCTTAGTTTCCTATCTGACCAACAGACCAACAGAAATAAGTACCCTGATCTCTGATAAGAGTAAGAAGCACTGAATTTATCTTTTTGGCTTCTCAATAATTTATAACTGGGCTAGAGAAACATCAGTATCATACTTAACACCTAGGATTTCTTCCTACCATCCCAGGCTTTACCTAGCTGTATCATCCATCTCAGCCAGCTGAAGGCAGGAGCCCTGGGCAGCCCTCCTGGGGAGGGGCCCAGCATGGCCACCTTTGTGAGTGCATCTGGGGATGTCCTTGGCTCTCCTGGTGGCAGCCAGCACAAAGCCAAGCCCAATAAATTCTAACCTGGTGATCCAATCCTTAGCTGCATGGAGGAACCACCTGGGAGCTTTCAAAAATCAGTGCCCAGGTAGCACCCTAGACCAATTATATAAGAACCTTCTGGGTGGGACCCAGGCATTGAGTATTCTAATAAGCTACCCACATATTCCAATGTGTAGCTAAGGTTGTGAACCACTGTTCTGTCTCGGGCTTCCTCTGTTGTTGTTGTTGTTGTTATGTGCCGTCGAGTCGGCCCCAACTCATAGCGACCCCTCCTTGGGTTTCCAAGGCAGTATCACTACGGAAGTAGGATTGCCCAACCTTCCTTCCGAGGAGTGGCTGGTGGGTTTGAACCGCCAGCCGTCTGGTTAGCAGGCAAGTGTCTTAGCCACTATGCTACCAGAGCTCCCTAGCTGGGGTCAATTACACTAATTATGTAGAGGCCTATTTGTCCTGCTTCATTTTCACTCCTGCTCTCAAGGGCTCTCAAGCTTAACCAGCTACAGCTTGTGTCAATGAAACACAAATCCACAGGCTCTATTCCATGCCTGAGAAGCTCTGGTGGTGTAGTGGTTAACTCCGGCTACTAACCCAAAGATCAGCAGTTGGAACCTCAAAGCTGCTCTATGGGAGAAAGATGAGGCAGTCTGCTTCTGTAAAGATTTAAAGCCCTAGAAACCTCATGGGGCTGTTCTACTCTGTCCTATAGGGTAGCTATGAGTCTGAAGCAACTCAAAGGCAGTAGGTTTGGTTATCTCATGCTTTAGTCCAAGGCTGCAGACTACTGGTCTACCCTGTTCCCTTGTCTGACAAATGCATGTTACTGATGATGGAGAAGGAGCTCTGGTGGCATAGTGCCTAAGACATTTGACTGCTAACCAGAAGGCTGGTGGTTCAAACCCACCATCCACTCCTTGGAAGGAAGATTGGGCAGTTTACTTCTGTAGAGATACTCCCTTAGAAACACAAGGAGGGGTTAATGATGATGGAGAGAAACAGATAAGGGAGTATGGATACTTTGGAGAAAATCTCTCTTCACTACTAGAAAACAAAACAAAATCTGAGTTAAGCCCAGTTGCTGGTCATTCCCAACAGGAATGTTTCATTTACATGAAGAAGGAATCATATGCACATGCAGTAGAACGTCCCCCAACAGTGTCACAGGGTGCCCTCAGTATGTCACCATGGATCCTGTGCTCTGCAAGTGTCAGGGGATCTTTAGGTCTCAAATCACTGCATTAGAATCCACTGGAGGGACCAGCCTTCTGGGCCCCACTCCAAAGTTACTGATTCTGTAGGTCTGAAGGGGGTGGGTGGGGGCAGAGTTGGCATGGCTAACAAGTTCCCAGGTGATGCTGAAGCTGGGCTCACACTTTGAGAATCACTCTCAGTTAAACCTGCTCTATCTCATCCTGTCACTGATATCTGAGCCATGTCAAGAGCAGCACGAGGGCCAGGAACCTAGTGGAATCTAGTTGTTTGAGCCCCTGATAGGGCAGAGTGGACCCAGCTCTTTCCTCAGTGTCTTCCAATTCCCACCCTGGCCTCCCAAACAGAAATTTGATTTCTCTAATCTCCCTTTGTCCCTGGATTGTAAATGGAACTCAGTTTGTTCCCTTCCCAGCCCAGCCCAAACTAGAGCTGGTTGTTCCACCTCAATTCTACCAAGTACTTTCCCTTGCTGGTTCCCTTCCTTTGCTCCCATCAGGGATGGCAAGAATGGCATTGAACTCCATGGCACTTAGGCATGGCCACAACCTCATGCCCTCAGTATTGTTCTGCCCAAAGTATAAGGGAAATTCCTAGCTCTGTGGTTACTTGTGCCAGGTCAGTGGGGGCTGTTGGGGGTTTCCTTAGAGTCCTGACCAGGGCAGTGGGGACAGGTGACCCTGCTTTCTTCCTTGCCTTGCAGACATATGGTCCTAAGAGGGTCTGTTGCCCATGAATGGACACTGTCCACGCCCGAGTAGGCCTCCTGGCTCTGTTCCGGGTCACACAGAAGTCACAGTCTCATGCAACTTATCAGAACCTGCCCTCTGACACTGGCATCTTGATGAAGATTGATCATAAAAATGCAGTGCTGCAGGGAGGCTTAATTACAGCAATAATAACACTAGCACCTGTGTTTTCAAAGCACCTTATAGTTGCTAATTAGCCTGTGTCATACACCAACAGCCTCCTTCTTCCCCCAATAAAATAGGTGGGTAATGGGGAGCATCTTTCCCCCTCCAAGAACAGCCTAGCTCCTGAGGGAGCAAGGAGGGACCTAGAACCAGGCCAGGCTGTGGTTGCCTCCGCTGTCTGGCTCTCTTAAGAGCTGCCGCTTTGGCCTCCCAGCTGGGGACCTTATAGAGCCAGCAGTTTTCCAAATAGTCACAGGTGAGAAGGCCCTTCTGGTTGCTTTTACTTACAGGATTAGGATTTAAGCCTTGGGCCTGTGGAGATCAACGGCAACCCCGGGCCCCCACACTCTATCCACACTCCATGGAAGGTCATTGCCATCTACAAAATAAAAGAGTATGTTGGATTCAATGAGCCAGTGACTCATGAGGAAAAATATCCAGTGAGAAGCTGAGCACACACTATAGATCCTGCTGTTCAATTCTTCCTTTTCCTGGAGAGGAAACAGAAGCCCAGAGGCAATGGGTCTGGCAATGGGGACAGTCAAGGACAGTGACTCAAAGAGGGCCTGGCACTGAAAAGGTGCTTACGACACACTTGGTGATTGACCAGCCATGAGTCACTGACAGAATCTACTGTGGGAGATCAGGCAGGAACTCAGGCCTCCTGATGCTTAGCTCACTGTTAAAATCCAGTGAGCCCTAAATTAGTGTCATAAAATTGAACTCTTCTGCCTCCATCTTCTAGAATTTAAAGAGAAATTGACTGTGACTCTCACTCTGTGCAGCTGGAGAGCCACACTGACCGACACCTGGGCCGGGACTTCTTTCTGTGCCACCCGCCCTCAGCCCGCTGTAGCACCTATGTCAACCTGCGTGAGGTCTCTGGTCGGGCCTCTCTCCCCCCAGGGGAATACCTGGTGGTTCCGTCCACTTTTGAGCCCTTCAAGGATGGCGAGTTCTGCTTGAGGGTGTTTTCGGAGAAGAAGGCCACCGCCCTGTGAGTGTTCATTGTTCATCATTAGCTTTTCATGGATTCTAGAACTTCCATCTTGGTGGACCGTTCTTGGAAATGTTCTCCCCATCTTGCCCCAGTTATCATTCTTCCCCTCCCCCAGCCTCCACTCCCTGGGAACCCAGATACATAAATCCCTGTTGGAATCAGCCCCGTGGTGTGGGGCACTGTCTGCGAGCTCAGGCCAGCTGAGATGCAGACGCCAGGCCCTGTTGGCTGACGCCCCCTACCATTTTGGTCGATAGAACACAAGGGGAGTTTTCTTGAAAAAAAAAAAAGGTCAAGAATGGATGGCAATAGCACCAGTAGCAGCGTGGTTAGAGGGTCTTCCACATAGCAGGAGTGGGCAGGTGAGACCCAGAGAATAGGATCTAAATGGCAGTACCACCTCCTCTGTCTTACACACACACACACACACACATGTGCACACATGTGTGTACATACATACATGCACACGTGCTCACACACATACCTATGCTTGTGCCCATATATACACACACTCATACATACATGCACATGCATACACATGCACACACTTGTTCATGGGCTTGCTAGCTGATTCCAACAGGGATTTATGTATCTGGGTTCCCAGGGAGTGGAGGCTGGGGGAGGGGAAGAATGATAACTGGGGCAAGATGGGGAGAACATTTCCAAGAAGAACGGTCCACCAAGATGGAAGTTCTAGAATCCATGAAAAGCTAAATGAAATTGGCAGCTCTTTTCTCTTGTGAGGAGTCCCTGGGTAGTACAAATGGTTAATGCACTTGCTGCTAACTAAAAGACTGGATGTTTGAGTCCACCCACAGGCACCTCAGAGGAAAGGCCTGGAGATCTACTTTTGAAAAATCAACCACTGAAAATTCTATGTAGCACAGTTCTACTCTGATATGCATGAAGTTGCCACGAGTCAGAATTGACTCGATGGCAACTGGTTTGTCTTTGGTGAAACCTCATGGTGGAATGAAGATTGTGGAGGTGAAGGAGGGGATGCTGGTTCAAGACTCAGTTTATGCAATTTGGTGCTAGTAGGAACCGAAGGTCTAGGATGGGAAGCCAATCCCTCAGAAAGGTCAGAATTTCCTAAAAGAACCTAGCCATGACCCGTACATTTTACTTACTTATCTTTCTTTGTGTTCCAGGGAAATTGGAGATGTGGTAGATGGAAACCCACATGAGGTATGCAGTCTTTTATGATGCCAAGCTCCGACGTTGTTACACAGCAGACATTTGGGGTTTCTTATTGATTTGTAGGTGTTCTCTACATACTAAAAATGGTAACTTCATTGCTCAGGGCCACAAATATTTTCTAGGCCCTGGCTTGTCCTGGTGAAGATGAGAAAGAAACAGCTCTGGGACCCAAGCTTTGCAATGCATCCTCACTCTGAGGAATCTTAGCATCCCACACAGCCATTCAGCTAGATGCACAGATAGAGCACTCACCGTGTGCCTCAGCATTTCTGTGCAGGATGGAGAAGGCAGTGGGAGAAATAGATCCAGTCCCTTGCCCTTGAATAGACTTCCATCTTTGAGGGGACAAATGCTGGAAGCACAGGTAAAAGTTGAAGGAAAACTATGAGAGAAACAAATCTAAACCTAACAGTGCCTGCGTGTGTGTGGTCCTTGGGGGTGCTGGAGTGAATACCTAGTCTGGGAAGGCTCCATGGAGGAGGTGAGTTTAGAGCAGACTTTGTAAGAGGAAGTGTGTAAGGTTAAAGTGCAGGTTTACCCACCTCATTCCCCTTATGCCTCCCTTGAGGCCTCTCTTTACTGTCCTGTCCCTCTGATGTTGTGTGTGGAGGCAGCATGCTGACAGCTGCTTTCCCATCAGGCCTATACTATGACTATGGCTGAGGGGCACTGCATCCAAGAGTGGGACAGTAGTATCTTCATGGATCCAGCTTCCGCTGCTCTGGTCTGTCTACCTAAACAGATGGAGGTGCCTCTGGCAGGTGCCACAGGCTGCTGACTCTGCCCTCTTTGGCTGAAGTGGGGGAAGAGATATTCTACTATTTGGCACAAATCAAATTTGTGAGCTCATATTTCTGCAGATACAGGAGAAGTTATCAAACAAGGATCCATCTTATCCTGTTGGTTTATGCCATGAGTTTGTTAGATAGAAAATGCATGCCCCCATTGTCTGTTCTTTCTCATTCCAGTTAATCCCTGTCTTTGACAGATGTGACTGCTCTTAAGTCCCTTGGGACTTGTTGTTGTTGTTTGTTATGTGCCATTGAGTTGGACCTGACTCATAGCGACCCCTCCTTGGGTTTCCAAGGTGGTATCACTACGGAAGGAGATTGCCCAACCTTCCTTCCAAGGAGTGGCTGGTGGGACTTGGTGCACTGTATTTAAGCCAATAGTCTAACCACCTTGAGTCAGCTAAAATACCTGGCACCAGATGTTTGCAGCTCTTAGTAATCTGAGCTCTTCAGAACTACCCTAACCTGGCCCCAGTTGCAGGTGCCAGTTCAGCACCTTTACTGCCCCAGGGAGAATATATTTTTCATAGTGGCATTTCTTCCTACCAGTCCCAGACATGTTAAAAAGCCAGTGTACTTGTGAGGAGGATATGGATTCTGATCCACAACTCAGAAAGAATTATTCAACCACCTTTTTCTTTTCTTTTTTGTTTTCTGCTAAATTAACTTAAAGCTGATTCTATGTCCCCATTGCACCAAGTTGACAGCGGTCATAATTGAGGCTCCTCATCTCCACCTTTTAAGGTCTTGGAGTTCTCTGAAGCACCAAAGCAATAAAAAGTTCTGTCTGGTCACAAGTCAACTTGCTGCCTCTGCTCACAGGTTCCTTCATGTCTGATGGCTTTTGGGCATCTGTTCTATACCTGGGGCCTGGAATCTTTGGGGAACCAAAAGCCCCCAGATCTATGGCACCATCTTCCCACCAAAGGTCCTGGGGCATGGCCATGGAGCCATGCAAAGATTCCTAATATTTCAAGGCACTGTGGAGTTCCAACCTCTTATTAGTCTCAGGGAAATTCTGCCTTTTCTCTCTCAGCACCCTCCCCAACACAGACACATAGAGGCAACCAGTATAATGTTGTTAGGGCACTTGGCCTTTTACAAGGAACAGAAAGAGCCATTGCCTCCAAGAACTTCTGATTTCCTTCCTCTGTTGTTGTTGTTATGTGCCATCGAGTCGGCCCCAACTAATAGCGACCCCTCCTTGGGTTTCCGAGGCAGTATCACTATGGAAGTAGGATTGCCCAACCTTCCTTCTGAGGAGTGGCTGGTGGGTTTGAACCGC